CCTGGTTGCTTCTTGGAATTGTTCCTTCCTCATAACTGTATAATAATCTAGTTATTAGAAAAGGAACTTAATTTATTTGACCTGACCCAAATTGCCAAGACATCTTCTATTCCTGTTGTCTTGATGTGTACGTCAAATTTGCACACAATGCATTAGTTAAAAACTGGTTAATAACCCAGAAATATAATTAAGAAAAAAATGCCATTCAGCTGAGGACAGCTCAAGTATCCCAAAAGAGTGTCTACCTAAGTACTTATATTCAATATGTTTTATCAATATGATCTGCAAGTAAAACATAAAATCATAACTGATGAAGTATAAGGCTAATACAAAGAGTGTAAGATGAATAAATAATATGTTATCAGTATAATGTTATGTTGCTCAGCAATCCCCATTAATCTGAGGAGAGTCAAATGTAGCTTCATATACCTAGGAAAAAAAGACTTTAGACCATTCCTACAGAACATGTTCTAGAAAGCAAAAGCTTTGAAAATGACAGAGGCCATCACACACACAAAAACATAATGAATTTAAACATTGGGCGAAACACTATAGTTAAAAGTAAAATTTTATAGAGAGAAATAGCATTTACTTTTGGTTGCAGCACTCGTGGGAAAAATAGTGTTTATTCCCAGTGTTCATGTTTCACTAACAATACTGGAAAGTTTTGGAGGTTCAGAAGAAAACTGCAGGAATAACGTATGGTCTGAAAAAAGCTTAAAAGGCTCCATCAACAGTGTATCCCAGAAAAGGTTACAGGTGACATAATCACAATCCATAATAACCACATAGGGACAAAGTGAACAAAGTCATAACAGGAGGCAACGGCCAAGGAAGGACATTTATTAACAAGTACAGATAAAGTGGAAACATTTCCTGCAGGAATTATTGCCTCTTCTTAAAGTTGTTTTTTGTTTTGTTTGTTTTTTTTTTTTCCTCCCCCAAAATTACAAAAGCTTTCTGCCAGCTCTGGGAGAAAGCTGAAACCAGAAAAAATTATATCAGTACTCAGATGCATATTTTAACAGTGAAATGAATATTTCAGCAATTTGCTGGGGGAAATCCTGGGTTTTCCTGGGGAAAATTTTTTGCTGGGGAAAACCCTGGCAAGATTAAGCCTATCTAAATGTAGGGTATTATAAGCATTAACATCCACATCTGGGCTTTCTTATTACCTAGAAACTCTTTATACTCATGATTCACCTACCTTGCTTTAGAAATCTATCCTGTGCATTACACCCTGGCAGTGCCTATACCTTAGATGACTAGATCATATATATATATACGTTTGACTCATAGACATCAACCTTAAGAGAAATTACTTCTCACTTCTGTATCTTTAAATTAAGTCAGGTGATCAGAAGATCTGGTCTTGGTACAACAATTATCAGGGAAAAGGATGTGGTTTATGATATTCAGGACACCAAATCAGAATTGTCTCATGTGAGCTTAGAATATATGAGTCTAAGAACTCTCCAATGATCTTACTTGCTTGTCATTCTCTAGATGAACAAAGACCCAGCTATTATGTTTGTTTCATGCTTCTTTTTTATTTGTCATCAATGTCAAAGCTACATCTCTCTTCCAGATCTTTCTATATGTGTTTGCAGACAATGCTAGATAGGATGTCTCTTTTTTTTTAAAGTGTGAGAGGTACAGAGAGAAAAAAAGCATCCTTTCCTGCTGGTGTTTCTAAGAAAATAAGAAAAAATAAAATGCCAGATTTATGACTTTTTAACCCGAGCCTATGTCACTGGAAACAGATAAGAAATCATAGTATAATTTGTTTCTCAGTGCTGTTACTGGAAAAGAAAATTGCCAGTTTGTGAATTATGAGTCTGTACACAGGGCCAAATTTGGCTTGTATTCACACCAAAGTAACTTAATTGAAATCAGTGAATTTGCACTAATGTAACTGTGAGCAGAAATTGACCTCTTGTGCCTACTGGAATGTAGCCCAAAAGCCACTTGTCTTACTTGTGCTTAAGGCTTGCTCTGCATGAGTGTCTACTATTTTACTGGCAGTAAGTTATGTAATATTCATGGTTTAATGGTGCATATTCTACAAATAGGTTGGGTAGATGCCAGCAGACTACATCCAAGCATTATTACATATTTGCTTTGTTGACCTCTGTACGCATTCAATCACATGAAGTAGTTACATCTGGGACTCCAGCAAGGAATTCCAACTTCCAAAATGTTCCCACTGCCACTATGCAAATGCTAGCAAAGAGCCTCTGTTGTAATTAGCCTAGATTTCCTTACAATATCTAGTTACAAAGGAGTATCCATGAATATTCATGGCCAATTCATTTGAATTATGAACATTCATGAATAAATCATCTGGCTGAAAACAGGGTACCGTATGTTGTGTTTCATGGCTCCTGTGATTTATTCCATAGTGCTACAATTTGTAATATTAGTAGCTATCATAAAGTTTATTTTTCAAGCCTTCATTTCCAGCTGTGACCATGGCACTCTGGGGATCAGATAAGCCTTTTCTTATACCCCTGTAAGGTCAGATCCCAGCCTAGATACATAATGCAGATTTACTGCTCTTCTACTATACACCCTCATTAGTGCTTTTGTAAGGTGCCTTTGTTCTCTTGGTGTACGCTACCAACCTCAGACAAAGGGGAAACACAGCGCATTTCTGGAGTGACATTGAGAAGGGAGATGCAGTGCTATGGTAAGCAGAGGAGCAGACTGCTCGGAGATGTGTGCCATGTCCATCCTTGGAGGTTTTCCAGGATGAGACTGGATGAAGCCTTGAGCAACCTGGTCAGATCAGGAAACACAGGATAAGAACTGGTGTGATGCTAACACTAACAGCTGTGAGCTAAGCACTTTTAATAAGGTCAGAGGTAAGGAAGCAAGAGCACTATGAAAAGTTACTTATCCTAATAAAAATTGTCATGTATCTGTTTTTCCTGTCATGAGAGAAATGGGGTTTGCGTGGCAGGGTTTTGGTAGTGGTGGGGGCTACTGGGATGGCTTCTGTGAGAACCCACTAGAAGCTTCCCCTAGGTCTGATAAAGCCAATGCCAGCCAGCTCCAAGATGGACCTGCCGCTGGCCAAGACCGAGCCCATCAGCAACTGTGGTAGCACCTCTGGGATAACATATTTAAGAAGGGGGAGAAAAAACTGTACAACAGCAACTGCAGACAGAGAGAGGGTTGAGAATATGTGAGAGGAACAGTGCTGCAGACACCAAGGTCAGTGAAGAAGGAGGGGGAAGAGGTGTTCCAGGCGCCAGAGCAGAGATTCCCCTGCAGCCCCTGGTGAAGACCCTGGGGAGGCAGGCTGTCCCCCTGCAGCCCATGGAGGTTAACGGTGGAGCAGATATCCACCTGCAGCCCATGGAGGACCCCACACTGGAGCAGGTGGATGCCCAAAGGAGGCTGTGGCCCTGTGGGAAGGCTGCGCTGGAGCAGGCTCCTGGCAGAACCCGTGGACCCCATGAGGGACCCATATTGGAGCAGTCTGTTCCTGAAGGACTGCACCCCATGGAAGGGACCCACACTGGAACAGGTCATGAAGAACTGCAGCCCAAGGAAAGGACTCACTTTGGAGATGTTCATGGAGGACTGTCTGCCATGGGAGGGACCCCATGCTGGAGCAGGGGGGGAGTGTGAGGAGTCCTCCCCTTTAGGAGGAAGGAGCAGCAGAGATAACGTGTGATGGACTGACCACAACCCCCATTACCTGTCCCCCTGCACCACTGGAGCGGAGGAGGTCGAGAATTCGGAAGCAAAGTTAAGTCTGAGGAGAAGGGAGAATTTGGGGGAAGGTATTTTTAAGATTTGGGTTTATTTCTCATTATCCTACTCTGATTTGATTGGTAATAAATTAAACTAATTTCCCCAAGTCGAGTCTGTTTTGCCCATGACGGTAATTGGTGAATGATCTTTCCCTGTCCTTATCTCAACCCACAAGCCTTTTGTAATGTTTCCCCTGTCCAGATTGGGAGGGGGTGTGATAGAGG